CCCCCGCCGGGAGTCAGCCCCGGCCGACCAGCGACTCCCAGCCCCGCGGGAAGGGCGGGAAAGCGGCGGCAGCGCACTCAGGCTCGGGGCGCATGCGCAGTAACACAGCGCCCCGGGGTCCTCCCGAGCGGTGCCTGCGGTCTGGGTCGGCGAGGTGGTGATGGTTCCGTATTAAACTCGTTTAAACCTCAGCTCCCTTCAGCCGTTTTTATTTCTTTTTGCAGAAACGCCTTTAATTACTCAAAGTAACCGTCTGCACCAACGTTGTTATGGTGGATGTAGGCTGGGGTGTGGTGCCGAGGCAGGATTTTTCCATAGATCAATGCAAACAGGCAGTATTTCTCCAGTCAGATTAGTTTTACAAACTACATGTTTTATGTTTCAGATTTTTCTATTGTTCTCACAATTTTCTGTCCTCTCCTAGTTAAGATATTTTCCTCTTTACTTACGAAGACCAAATACAAAATCTAAATTAAAAAAAAAATAATAAAAGAGTTCTAACGCAACCGCTTTAAAAAAAATTGAGCTACCTCTGCAAGCTGTTTATACATAACTTCAGCAGAAAAACTACCTTAAAATTTCAACCAAGTTTTTCCAACGATTTTGATTAGAATGCCAAATATTACTTAAAAAACAAAACCACAAAAAAGCGCCCCAGATCCTGGTCAAACTTGATTCTACCTAATAATTGTTTTAAGTGGAAGAGGTTAGCAAAGCTTTCTTGTATTTCTTGAAATGTCTCATTTTTTGCTAGTTTGAAGTACTGTATATGTAAAGTACTTATGTATATCCTATATTTCATCATAATATATATTGCTAGCATGAAATATAACCTTAATGAAAACTGCTTGAATTTTTACAATGCTCAAAAGTTTGATTCTGCTTTGAGAATCCATTCATGCATCAAATTAATATTAATTATTACTGTTGTAAGTTTAAGGAAAAAATAAGAACTTTTAACATAAGGATTTGCAAGTACTAATGGCTAATTTATCAAAACGGGTGAGTTTGTTTACTTTAAAACAGAAACAGACAAAACTGTTACCACATTTTAGTTGATTTCAAAGCAAACCAAGTATCTTACAATACATATGCACATACATTTTGTACATCATCTGATTACAAAAATTAATGCTTTTTTAAATACTGCTAATACAACTAACTGAAGATACACCACCAAACATTTCTGTTTGAAAACATTCAGTATCCTTTCCCACATAAAACCATACTATTCTGATGTCTCAGCAAAGTAGAGTGCCAAACCTTGTTAAATTTAAAAACACCAAAGCTTCATATGTCAGTACAAATATTGTCTTCTGAAGTGAAACACTGCTCCCATACACTGCTGCATTAACAGTTTGTTACCCATTCATATAGAGAGGCACTTTTGCTTTCATATTTACAATGCTTGTAAAATACTATACTTTGATCATTTTCATTTGATTACAACCCCCTCTTTGTAATCAAGTCAAGAAATAACACCACTATATTCTTTGGAATATGACACACCAGTTAAGATATAAAGTATCTTTCAAATAACCATTAGTTTTTCTGTTAATGTGTTTTTGGGTTTTTTTTTTTTATTAGAATACATTTTTTTCCAAGTCCCAATTCAATACTATAAATAGGGGGATGAATTATCACTGTGCTTTAAAGAATGTCAATATCAATAAATTTATATTAAATCTTAATTATAAGTTACATAATTCTCAATTTTCCTGTAGGGCTAAAAAACAACAACAACAAAAAAAGCAGCAACAACAGAAATTTGCAAAATGTTTTGGAATGCAAGATCAAGGACCTGTTAAGCTGATCCCAAACAACTTTGCCTTCCAAGATTTTATCTAGTTGGCAACACACCTACTGCAATAAATGCAGCTACATTCCTTTAGGTAACCCTTTTTATAAAAAAGGATAACATGGCCATGAACTAACAGTTGTAAAGTTAAGATCTGTTGAAAACTGCCTATGTACAGGATTCCTGCAATTATTTTTCATGTTGTTTTGCACTGTCACAGGTCCAGCAGCTTGTATATCATGAAGAGTACTGCAGAGATTCTAACTGTAGAGGCATGATTTTTTTTCTCAGTATCAACGTAGTTAAATGTCAAACCATAAAAGACACTTATGAGAGAGATTTTTAAATGCTTATCACATCTTGAGGTAGACTGATCTCCAAAATAAAGCTCTTTTACACTTTGATTCGCTCATGACCAACTTCCTTTTGGATCCTTCTCCTTGGAAAAATCTTTCGTTTAAGTGCAATTAGCTGAAAAGGGGAAAAAAAAAATACAATATTTAGTTCTCTGCTGGGCTAGAGGTGCACTGCTGGTCAGGCTTTCATCCTTGAAATTATAAAATCTGAATCATCCATGGTAATTAAGTCAATATTGTCTTTTTTTTTTTTTTCCTTCCACTGCACAGGAAGAAAGAGTTATTTACTCAACTTCATCTATTAGGCGAACATATTTCTACTGGACTTCTCAATATCCAGAATACAAAAAAAAGTGAAAATATAGTATGCCTATATTCTGATTATTTGAAAGTTAATTTATGTATTTAAATTAATATAACACCAGGCTACATTCAGTTTCAAAAAGATCAACACAGAGCTGGCATCTTAAAACAGTATTTATATATCTAGCTGTACTACTGAATTGAATACTCCCTTCCAGAACTAAGTTACTAATGGAGGACAGGTTTTCAAATACATACAAAAGGCTGGAAATCAAGGGAAAGATTCATGCAAAAGTTACAGGTGGGGAAAAATAAAAAATAATCAAAAGCCAACCTTTCAAGAATTACACCCTCTTCATCAGACCACGGAAAGTGTTAATTAAGGCCCCAACCTGCAAGGAATTACCCATATGATTTGTTCCATTGACTCCCTCCAAGTTTAGCAGGATTAATCATGTTCAAGGAAGCCATTTTATGCTTGCAGAAGTGGAGGGTTTTTTCCTTTGAGTCAGATTTAAAACCTTTTGAATTCAATAGGAGTCTCTGCAATTACTTAGGGATGAGATTTCGATAGGGCCCCTAAATACCGTGAGAGTCCCTTCAGGACTGGAGTATTGCTATTACTTAAATTTTCTTCCTGTTAACTTGCTTTGCACTTTTACCAATACGTGTGTTAATAGACCAAGACTTTAAAAAACAATTACTGATTTTGAGCATCCAAATTTAGCACACTTATGGTGGACTTAATCACAAAGTGCCTGAAAAGGGAACACCACTCTCCTTCCCCCCATATGACTCTCTTTTCAAGGAATCTCAACATGATGACATTAAATTTGAAGCAACCTAATCATCAGTCATGCAGCATGTTTACTTCCTTTATGAAGGAAAAAATCCTAGCTACTTTTCAAAATCTGATTTTAAAATTCATTTTATGTTATTCCAAAAGTGCAGCAATCTATTAAAAGTTATAGGATTTATAAGATATTAATTTTACCTGTTCAGCAAAAAATGAGATGATTGTAAATACAATAAGTGTTACTAGAACACAATGGGTCCAGAATTTGAGCTTGTCTCTATATGCCCTCCTGCACAAAGAAGGAAACAGAAAAACAGCTTCATGTATTATAAATGTAAATATATAAACTTCAAAAAGTTTCCATGAAACAAGCAAAGAAAGTTTTTTCCAGTACTTAAAGGGTGGCTACTAAGAGGATGGAGGCTCTTTCTTCACAAAGAGCCACATGGAGAGGACATGGAACACCAGGTACAAGTTGGACTGGGAGAGGTTTCATCTCGATATAAGAAAGAAATTTTTTACAGTGAGAACAATCATTCACTAGAACAACCTCCCCGGGGATGTGGTGGAGGTGGTGAAAACCACCACCGGAGGTTTTCAAGACATGACTGGACAGGGTGCTAGATAATCTCACCTAGGCTCCCTTTCCCACAAAAGGCAGGATCAGATAATCTTTCTAAGTCCCTTCCAACCTGGGCTGTCCTAAGAGTCTCTAAAACATTTTGATTAAGTCTGTTAACTTGTGTTATAAGAAGCAAAATGCTTATTTACTGTATGTAGCCCAAGTTCTGCATATTTCATAACTTTCTTTACTTTCAACATATTCTTGAAACTACTCTGTCAGCCTCCTGGAGACATTCGGAATTGTTGGTTACATTGGCTCTTAAGCCAAAATCAAATACCATGCAAGATAAAGGTGGAAAACTCAACTGAAGGTAAACGTGGATTTCCACCAGCACTTCAGCATGCTTTAACCCACCCTGGTAGAAATCTGCTTTGGCTACAAACTATAGTCACAATAAAGTGTTCTTTTGAAACTAACAAAATCCTGGTGGATAGCCTCAAAAAGGGAGCCAACAATATGTCTACTCCTCCAGCCCAAATTTCTACAGCTAACTGCTGAAATGGGTTTGCCTCCCACCCCTTCTCCATACAGCAGAGTTTGTAGCACTACAATCCATGCCTATTCTTGTTCCCTACAATCATTCTGATTCTTTCTACAGTTCCTCTAATATTTTCTCCTTCCTAATAGCTATTTATCATAACTTGCTGATCAGCAACAAAATTACTATACTACTCTTTTTGTCTCATTTTTATCACTATACCTGCCAAACTTTTGCTTGTATTCTCAAATCAACTTACCCAATTTCTGAAATTAAAATATTATTTATAAAATGGCAAGAAGTAAACACACATGAAAATTTAACACGATGTAACAATGAGACACACATATCTTTTCTGATTATTATCCAGCTCATTATTGCTGACAGATTTTTTAAAAAAAATTTTTAAAACTCACTTAATGAGAAAGGTCACAGAATTTGTATTGCCCCTGTGCAACAAGCATTCCAATCAATTTATTTTTTTTAACATTTAAAGAAAGTCAGAAGTCCTGAATTACTTAAAAAAAAATAAAAAGTTATTTGAAGTAGGTTAGGGCCAATCAATGAAACATTAACAATTTTATGAACAACAGAAAGACCCAAATCCTGCAAACCTCAAATTTTAGTCCATTCAAATCTTTTCATAATAGTTTCACTGTTAACTCCTTCAGGACAATGCCAGGGGAAAAAAAAAAATTGCTGGTACCAATATGTTTTATAATTATTTGTGATTGCACTACAATAAATAACTTGAAAAGAACCTGCATAACGTACCATTCTTGGAGTTCGTGCATGTGAAGGAAACGGTTCCGATATTCTCTTGGCAGTTCAAATTGGGAAGGTATGGGAAACATTGATTCATAAAAATCTCTCAGCACTGCTTTCACTGTCTGAGCATCCTTATGATTGTGATCAATATTGTCATTTAGGCAAACAAATTTTCTAGAAAACAAGAAGTCTTTGTTAGAATATTTCAATATTCAAAATTCAATAATGTGGCAAAGGTATTGGCAAACCAAGAACACAAATATAATCCTTTTAAACAAAATCAATACAGTATCCTTTTAAAACCAAATGGATATATTTGATACTGGTAATCAGTGTCCTTATTGTTGCCTTATTTTAAATTAATTTTATTTTAATTCTGAGAGCACCAAGGCTGACAGTAAGTGAAAACCTTTGAGGAATCAAATGACAAGTCACATTTCTCTCTCTCTTCTCTTTATATAATGGTGCCATCTAATGGGCACTAGGGTGCATCATCCCAGAGCCCACTACTGGATACAGACAGCAGATTAGAAAGGCCAGCATTATGATTTGGGTAAGGGTTTTTATAGTTTTAAATAAATTATCATGAGTAAAGTATCTCTAATAACAAAATTAGCTCCACTGTAGGAGGTAAACATACTAAGTTATTGTTATTTTACTGTGTAGCTGCACTCTTCAGAGAAAGTCAACATAAAAACTATAGAAGATTGTACGAGAGACAGCAAAGCTTGGTCCCCAGGATTTGAGTTACTGAGACCACTATAAAAACTGGGCGGAACATGACTTGAGTCACAGACCCAAAGCTGAACTTGCATAATCAACCAAAATACAAACAACCACCACCTGGATAGAATTTATATAGAAACTGCTGTGACCAAATGAGCATGCTCCCAATAATGCCTCTGGCAAAGAGTTATTTCTTGTACAAGAAACATACAGCTGCCTCAGTTACTGCAAATCATTGAAACTAAAGCAGCAGCTCGTGTGCTAGACTGCAATGTACCCTTGGCCACTCTGACCTGGTGCTTGACAACAAAAATTCCCTTTCCCACATATGGGCAAGGTTATGCGCTTTATTTATATTGTGGGATACAAGACCCTTACATTTTCCCCAGAGGGAGAAATCATATCTGGTGACATATGCCTTGTAATTGCTAACCTTTGTAAATAAGTAGTTCTGGTCAGCTGTATTCTCTATAGTATGGTGTGCTCTTTCAAAGAGCAAAGTTCAGACTTCCTACATGACGCTGGAAATCAGCAGAACTCTAGAGCACGTGAATCGGCCACCCAGGGCATTACCACTTTTCTTCAGTCTGTACTGAATCTGGCATAATTGGTAACCTTGCTCTATACAATTACATGCAGGGGACAAAAACTCATTCAAATTGCTACATCTGAGAACAAAATATGCCTCTCCTCTTCAGAGATGAGCAGGCTGTGTCTACACTACCAAGTACTACTATGCAAAACAGCTGGTTATGGCAATCATATGTCTACGCTATAAGCATTTTGAGAGTTCACTCTGGACTATCCCTGACCTTCTCCCTTGGACTGGCAGCTCATTAGCCCTGGGAATGCAGTAGCTGCACTCTCTGTTTAGCTTCATCTGAAAGAGATGCAGTTCATAGACCGAGAGGCTGCTACGCAGAGCAAACCAAAGCACAGGATGTGAGAGCAATGAGGATATTAACCTATTTCAAATGGAAAGACTGTTTTAATCCATTCAAAAGAAACCAAACCTGAAATTCCTTTAGATATTCCAGAATTAATGCCTAAATGATTAAGGCTCACTTTTCCTTAAGGAGGCAAAACAAACATTTTAGGCAGATCAGTAAGTGAACAATACTTTTGGTTTGTCCCAAGAGAGGCACCAAATACCCGTTTTTAGAGACTGTGTATAATTATTATTCTGTTGTTTTATATGCAGGGAAAACAGAAGGAAATGGCCATGACTACATAGCCATGCCAGCTCTCCTTTGCTAACAGGATATGACTACAGTCCTGCTCTATCCTTTGCAGGACTACAGCCCAAGCAACTGACTCAGTCTCACTTCACAAACCAGTCAACAATCTGGGACTACAATACACTACTGGTCCTTCAGAGGAACAACAAAAAAACCCAAAACAAAACTACCACAACAAAAAGGTATGCTTATATGGAGTATCAGGCTGACTCCATAATAGCATGCCAGTGCATCATATAAAAATTAGGGAAGATTCAAGACAGATCAGCTCACCTGCCTCATCTTGCCTGCTGAGGGTCCTGACACAACAAACTAGACACTCTTACTCAAACACATCCTCATCTAAAGGATGCAATCACCCCACAGAACAGGCAGCTCCATTTTAAGTTGCTAGAAGGCCTCAGTCCATTAGGCATACTCATATCTCAACTGACACAGCGTCAGGATCAAGCCTGACATCAGCACATACCCTTCAAAATAAGAAGCCAGTGATTGCAAGCATGAACTTGACTGAAGGTGAGAGACTCATGTTACATGCCCTCCATGGGCCTAACAGAAGGCTTGAAATCACACCTACAATTCAAGAAAAAGTCCTAGCCAGCAGATATAAAGAAATGGAGGAGGAAGGGGAAGTGGCAGGATGAGTTAGGGCACTGCCCACTTTTCTTTTGAACTGAGTCATTGTGGAAACTGGAATGCAGGAGTTAATGTGGCCAGAAGGCACTCCTGTAAAGAGGAAGTAGAGATACAAAACACCATCAGCTGCAAAACATCTCAAGGCTAGTATTCTCCTTTCTGAATGAATGACCTAGCAAGTAGCACAGTGTAAGAGGCAGGTGAAAACCTGCTCTTTATCTACAAATACAAATAATGGTGTAGTTTTATAGGCAGCTGAGATACCCAATAGCTTGCTGGGACCTGCAGGAGGAGGTTTCACTTTTCCTGGCCCAAGGTCCTGGTCCTACTTTCCTCCTTGTTCTGTTTTTGACACTTGTTAGACCCCTCTTTGAGGTCAAACTCATTAAACTAGCAGAGAACTCTCGATATTTCTGAAGACAGAAGCAAGATGCAAGACAAGAGCGTGCAACCAAGAGGAAGGAAGGAGAGGAGATGGGTGGAGGCACTGTCTAATTTTTAAGACAGCTGTCTATTAAATTATCTCACCATGTCTTGTTGAACCCCAGTCTTACAGAATGGGTTCAGGACTATAGTTAAATGCTTCTGCAACACAGATTCAGATTTAGATGTGAGTCTCAAATACAGCACCCTTTTCTTTGGAAGGTGGTTGCTGTGAAATGTATTCCAGGACATTTATTCTCCCCATTTATTGCACAGTCATTTCAGAAGCCTAATTCAACACTACAGAGCCTAGTCTCAGATTTGGGTATCTAAACCTTTTGCCACTGCAGAGTGGAGAAAGAGAGGACTAGCTTCTGGCTGTGTGTGGTTTCTCAACAAATACTAAAAAAACCAAAACAAACAAACCAACCCCAAAAACCCCCTCTTGCCATGTTATAACAGAACATGAAAGCATAATGGATATGCAAGATCGATTTTGTTACAAAATAATCCACACTTAAGTTTTCTTTTAAAATTGCTACATAAAGCAGATCAAAATGCTCTTCCTTTAAAATAAAACTACCTGCAATATAAACTGTATGCCCTTCTAGAATGACAAAAAAGAAAGCCTCAAAAATCTCTGAAGTTTATCTGTAAGTTTTCAAAGGTTCTAGATATATAAAGATGTAAGAGAAATTAATGAGATAATCTCTAACGTAACAGAGAGAGCAGTCACTTAGCTTCAGTTAAACAGGAAAACTTAAAATGGTCTTGTCCCGTAACACACAGTGTAGAAGTACATTGCAATAATTTTTCTTTTTTTTAATGCACAAACAGTTTAAACAGTTGGAACAGAAAATTAAAACCACCTCAAAATTTCATACAAATCAAGAAACAGGATACCTGGGATTTTTCCGTATGTCATCCAGCTGACCAACCACATGAGAAACATTTGTGCGAATCATTTTGAAGGCAATTTCCTCTTCTCCCATGATTTCAAACCTTATTAAATTAAAAAAGAAAATCCATTAAAAAAACAACCTAAAGACAGGCTCAATAATTATTAATTTATTTATTTAATAACATTTCTAATCTGACTCTCCAGCCTTCATTATAATTCATAATTTTATTTCTATCAGTATACTTATATTTTTCAGCCCACGTGCTTGTACAGAACACTTTCCTGTAGATTTCTTAGTAGCCACCCATGAACTGAATTCTAATAACACTTACTATGCTTTTTTTTTTTAAACACATACAATTTACAATTGTAATTTATAATTAGACCTCAGACATGAGAAAACATGTTCTTATTATCCAGTAAAATTACAGAAGAGTATATAAAACTACAGCCTTAAATACAAATAAAACCTTCCCCACTCACCTAATCAACAACTTGCAGACAAAACAAGTATATGAAATGCAGAAGTATACAATTTCTGAAGGATATTTTGAGTTTAAAATGGGGTCAAATGCTCTTTCAACAGTCCTACTGAAGGCACCACACTTACATTTTTCACCTTTTTTTTTATATAAGAGAAGACCCTGCTTTCTCCTTGAAATCTCACCTAAGAACATACTCCATTTATTAAGCTCACAAAATTAATACTACAGTTATTCAATACTGAAGTTTAACAGAACAAAAGAGCAGCTCATATGTTAAACTGACTTATAGTAATGTATTTGTCTCATTAAGCACAGCAAATTCTTGCCCCTACCCCAACATTTTTGAATCTTATTTGTTGTGTTAGCTTTTCAGTTTTAGCATAAACTCTCCTGGGAAGAGAACTACTCATAAAGCTTAGAGCACAACTTGAGGTACTATGAATTAATGTATAACAATGCCCAAAAGATGCCCTAAACAACATCTCCAACCTTCTTTTATTTTACAGTTTTATTTAGCTTTGTAGCCACTCCTGGGGCAATGGCATTCCTCAGAGACGCCCCTCCCCTGTCCAGCACCACTGGACAGGAGACAAAGGCTATATGCTCCACGCCAGCAGCCTCGTTGGCATGCAAGCGGTTTGCAGGTTTCAGAGAAGAAAGAACAGAGAAAACCTGATCTCAGGCAGATGATATATGCAAATACAATTATTCAAACAAACCCCTAGTCATGATGATAATTTGTCCTGCCCTTTCCAAAAGAGAATGGAAACCCTTTTCTTGTCCCCCTCCCTCCGTACCTGTCACTCCTCTTCCTTGTGGGAAATCTACAAGGCAGTTAGGAGGTTTTTTTTTTAAGCTTCAGCAGAAGAAAGGATGAAGCAGATATATAAGTTCTGTATACAGGACAGTCTCTTTCCTCTCTTTTATGCTACTATAACTGCCCTTACACACAACATATTGTCAATTTATATAGCTATGTAAAGATACTATGGCTTACTGTTGTACAACACAAATTAGGATCTGGTCACAAGTAGCATGGAAATATTTACTAAATAAGAAACTGAAAAAATCATAACATTCTGCACAATGAAGCATACACAAGTAGATATCAGTAAGTTTCTTAAATTCCACCATTAAAATAAATTGAGCTAAGATTTGTTAACATATGCATAAAATATTTGGTCATGTATTTATATCTCTTCTTATTGCTTTATAAAAGCTAGTGTGGCTTTTCACAGGACTGTAACAACATACCTGTATTTGTTTTTATCCTTGTATGCCTTACGAATTCTGTCAGTCACAGGTTTGCAATTTGTTACTAGGTTTTTTGTTACTGGAGGCTGGAAGAAAACATTGCTTAGATTATAGGTTACTGAAAATTATAGAGTCTGTTGGAAAGATATACTTTGTACAAAACTTATATTGCAGTTAGAAATGCCTGCATACGCTTTATTGTCCTGGAATGAAAAGCACTAGTTTCTTCGTCAACTGGGGAAAGGGGAAAGGGGAAAGGGAAAAGGGAAAAGGGAAAAGGGAAAAGGGAAAAGGGAAAAGGGAAAAGGGAAAAGGGAAAAGGGAAAAGGGAAAAGGGAAAAGGGAAAAGGGAAAAGGGAAAAGGGAAAAGGGAAAAGGGAAAAGGGAAAAGGGAAAAGGGAAAAGGGAAAAGGGAAAGGGGGGAAAGGGGGGAAAGGAAAAAGGAAAAAGGAAAAAGGAAAAAGGAAAAAGGAAAAAGGAAAAAGGAAAAAGGAAAAAGGAAAAAGGAAAAAGGAAAAAAGAAAAAGGAAAAAAGAAAAAGAAAAAGAAAAAGAAAAAGAAAAAGAAAAAGAAAAAGAAAAAGAAAAAGAAAAAGAAAAAGAAAAAGAAAAAGAAAAAGATACTGGTGCGTAACATCACGAATTCCTATGCATACAAATATTATATGAAAAATACAGATTATTTTTGGCAAAAAACATTACAACTTCTAGATTTCATCCTTAATAAAATATTCAGAAATTTTAGCTCATTTGACAGCTGCCTTTGTCATTCTTCTGGTAGAGGCCACCAGTAACACCAGCCAGGCAAACTCTGCAGAACAGCTGATACGCACTAGGCCTTATTTCTATCACAAGATACACTGAAACAATTCTGGGAAATAAAATTCCTGCTCTCAAGGGATATTTCTATGGTTGTAGACTCATTCCAAGATATTTAGCTGTTGCAGACAACATAAGTAAAATAAATTAGGCCTCTGTGCTAAACACAGACACTATTTTGTTGGTATTTTAACTGACTGATAACATTAGTACATCAGGCGTTACTGCTTAGATTAGTGATACTTATACTAACTCTCCAAAAAGATTAATTTGACATTGTTCCCAACCACTGAGGCTCATTTAATCCCATCTTAAAACATATTCACGGCAACCATTCTTTATTACTACTCTTCAAAGTTTTTACTTCACAGAATTTTGCAAACTGAATTGAGTCATAAGGAGGCAAAATCAAGTAAGGCTACACTGGATGTAGCATTCTCAGACTGTGCAGGATTCTCAAATCCACACCTGCATTTCTGCAAATCGGGCTGACAATGTTTTTATTTAGTATATATAACTTTAATGGAATTCAGACTTAGGGGAAAATTTTTAAAGCCTCGTAACAGAGCCTGCTAAGAATACAAGGCAGGACAGGTGTCAAGAGGGGAGAAAAAGACAAAAGAAGAAAAAAAAATACTCAATGTCCATATATATTTATCTACACACATATTGCAGATCTCTATTATGTTTTACATGTGTTGGGGATCAATAATGCTCTTCTACTACCCAACAGTTCATGATCTGTACTCATAAAAATAATTTTTGCTTTGATACAGTATTGGTTTGAAGCTATAAAACATCAACTCATGAATTCATCAAATTACATGTACACATTTTATTCAAATGCATAGGCTGATGCAGAAATTAAATTCTCATTGTAAAAGAAATCTAGGTATTAGGATCTGTCCTGGTTTTTAGCTGGGACAGAGCTGGTTTTCCTTTTAGTAGCTAGAACAGTGCTGCATTTTGCTTTCAGCATGGGATTTGTTATGAGAGACACTGATAACAAACCAGTGTTTGCATTTTTGTCCCTGGAAGTGAAGGACTTTGCATTTTGTTAGTCTACAAGCGCGATATCTAAGGGGTCGAGGAATATTTAAATTAATAAACTAAACTGGCATTTGGATATGCCAATGGGATATTCCATGTCATATCCTGTCATGTCCGGTATATTAGTGAGGGGCTCTTCCTCTTTTTGTCTCTCTGATTTTCGCTTGGGCTCTTGCTCTTCCAAGATTGCGGTTTCAGTTCGGGATTGTCGCTCCTCCGGGATCATTATCTGGGAATGGGCTGGGCTTGGTTGGCGAGTGGTGGGCAACTGCACTGTGTATGACTCATTTGCATATTTTATTACTATTTTAATATCAGTATTATTTTAAGTTTTCTTTAATTTCAATTATTAAATTGGGTTTATCTCAACCTATGAGTCTCCTTACCCTTGCCCCCCAATTCCCTCCCCTATCCCCTGGGGGTGGGGGGGAGCAAGCGAACGGCTGTGTTGGCCGCTAGCCCAGTGCTAGCTCAGTGAAACCACCACAGCATCAGATCTAAATATTCTAGATTTCTAAATTCTAGCAGATTTTAATGAGAATTTAACCAACAAAATAGAAATCCTTATGGAAAATTTAGTCTTAAGATCTCAATTTTCACAGAACAGTCTAGGTTGGCAGGGACCTCAGGAGCTCATCTGGTCCAAATCCCCTGCTCATGCAAGGCCACCTAGTGCCAGTTGCCCAGGACTATGTCCAGATGGCTTTTGAATATGTCCAAGGATGGAAACTATCTACAAATGGGCAACCTGCACCAGTGTTTGGTCACCCTCACAGTAAAAAAGTGTTTCCTGACATTCAGAGGGAACCTTGTGTTTTCAGTTTGTGCCCATTACCTCTTGTCCTGTCACTGGGCACCACTGAGAAGAGCCTGGCTCCATCTTCCTTGTACCCTCTCTTCAAGTATATTCACTGATGAGATCCCCGCCTTGAGACTATTCCTATAGGCTCAACAGTCCCACCTCTCAGCCTTTCTTCATAAGAGAAAAACTCCAGTCCCTTAACCACCTTCATGGTGCTTCACTGTACTCCTTCCAGTACATCCATGGCCCTTGCACTGAGGAGTGTGGAACTGGACACAGCACTCCAGGTGTGGCCTCACCAGTGCTGAGTAGAAGGGAAGGATCACTTCCCTGGACCTGCAACACTTGCCCTAATGCAGTCCAGGATACCATTAGCCCCCTTTGCCACAAGGGCACAGTGCTGGCTGATGTTCAACTTGGTATCCACCAGGACCCCCAGTTCCTTTTCTGCCAATTGCCCTTCCAGCTGGGTAGCCCCCAGCATAATACTATTGCATGGGATTGTTCCTCCTCAGGTGCAGGACTTTGCACTTCTCCTTGCTGAACTTCATGAGGTTCCTGTCAGCCCATCTTTGGAAGTTAAAAGCAGTTAAGTCTGAAGCATCCAAATTAGGAAGAATTATACTAGAGACATCCATCTGATGGTTTAGTGGTTTTTTAGATTTGGGGGTTTGTTTGTTTGTTTTTGGGGAGGGTGTCTGGGGTTTGTTTTGTTTTGTTTTTAAATACATGAGTTGTAATTCAGATAAAGACTTATCCGAAAGTTCTAATGACATTGGGCTTACTGTCTTTTTGGTTCACAACAGTGCATTTTCTTAACAAGGATGACTTTTAAAATCCTATATATAATAACATTCTAATGCTCAGCTTTTATCTATTTTTAAATGAAATCAATGGCTTTATAAGTTAGGAAGAAGCTTCTAAAATTGTTATTTTATAACACTTCACGTACACACAAGTAAGAATTTTTGTAAATACTTTCCTTATAGAAATCAAACCAGCTTTTCAAGCACAGGAAATACATGCTCAGGAAAGAAACCAAGCATCTTTTAAGACCAATGTTTCTTACCAGATTGGGATCATAATATGCTTCCTGAGTTGGAGGAATGACATGGATCTGAGTTACGTTGGCAGGAAGAGATTTAGAGCAATTTATTAGCATTTGTTCTAGACCTGTCAAATCCTAACAGAAAGAGAAGAAAAAAGAAAAAAGATAATCCTGTTTTCTCACTGATGTAGTTTTAAACATCTAGGGTGCACAGACATATTTAATGTTATCTACATAACGAATTTCTATGCTACTGTCAAAAAAATATTAATATTCAGCAGACACAATTCAGTGGGACCCCCCCCACAAGCCTAAAGCAAATGCTCAGTGCATAGTTGAATTGAGACCAGCTAAAGCGTGACTTAAAGTAATTTGCATTTTATTTTAACAGTTTTGGACTTTAAAACTGAAGTTACTGTAGAAGTTTCTGGTAAGGAAAGAGTACCTGCAAACTTAATGGTAGTTCATGGATTCTCGTAGCCAATGTGCGAATCTCTCGGTCAGACAAAATGCCCGACTGGTCTGTGTCAACCTCATTGAAGATCTGAGAAATGTTCAGTGGCTGGACTGCACTCATAAGATAGTAGAAATATGAAAAAGCAAACTGCATATCTTCTGAGTGCCGCACTTTGTGAAATGATGTCTTGTCAAACTCCTCAGGAAACCTAGATAAGAAGAATGTAAACTAATTTAGTACTCCAGCTTCTTAAAGTATAACATTCCTTACCTAAAAGCAAATTCTCATTTAGAATTTTAAAATGGTCCTCAAGTCTCCTTATTTTAGCACAACTACCATGTTGTAATAAATTCTCTATTTTCCTTTTCAAAATATAATTTTAATGAGTAGCCATCAACATATTGAAAATAGCTCTAGCAAAGCAGCAGCAGAAAGGTAGAATTAACGCCAGTCTCACATTATTCCAAGCAAAGACATACTCACATATCCTGTAGCTCTTGCATAACAGTGCGGTCAATCATGTGAGGCATATGAGCAGGGACTTTCCGAGATGTAAATCCAAATTTGCTGTTTAATAGCTTATTTACATATCGAAGAGAATCAGCAAATGTATCTTTCAGCTGCCTTCCAAAATGTTTGCCATCAGTAAAGTATGACATTTGTTTGAGTAGTGACTCTTCTTCCTAAACAGCAGGATAGCATAAATCAAAGTTACAGTACCAAAAAAGATAGAAAACATTAAGCATACAGGAAAAACAACATCTCAGACAGGTGCCAACTCTTCCCAATATTTGAAAATGGGAAGAGGAGTTTTGAATATTTTTCTTCATACTCCTTAGTTTTCTCTTTCAAATGAAAAGATAAAATGTAACCTTTTCCTTAAAATTTTCATGCTTTAGGAAAAGTAGTCTATAAAATATTCCCTTAATATTTGTGCTCCGACACCTCACACACACTAAAGTCCCTGTTTGCTATCAGATTCATTTGTAACATTGTCTTTTTTGCTGATTATTCATCCACATTTGATAAACTGAAATTCTATTAATATAAAGATTCCTTATGCAAAATCCAATCTCAGAAGATCAGAAAGAGGTAGCCTTTTAAAAACATAGGCCCTTTGCTATTCGGAGTAGTTGATGGCAAAACAGTTGCTACCAAATGAAGCACAGTCTCCATCTTCTCTTCTAGAGGTTTTCAAACCTCTGTAAAATGCTTTGGCTGGAAGCAGAGGAAGTTTCTACATGTTTTGTTAGCAGACTTTCAATTTAACTTTTAGAGCCCAAGTACTTACCATTATATGCATTTTTTATTTTATTTTTTTTTTAAATAGACTGGATCCATATTTGCATAAATGCAATCAAAATAAAATTTAAGCTTTCTGTTGTAGTGCTATATACGTCTGAACAATAGCTCTGTGCCAACATAGAATGAATAAAAAGTGAATCTGACAAAAAAAAAACCCCACAAACAGTAGAAAGGTAATAGAAATGGCTATTCAGCTTTTACCACCTAGCTAAGAGACGTCTAGATCATAAACAAGTTAGATTTTTATGTGAAGTTAAAGGGAGCTTTCAAAAAAATCTCAAAGGCAAGACACATTCCTAATGTACAGATCATATTAACAGTAGTCCATTAAATGCAGAAAGATGCAACTATTCCAACAGGCAATAAGATACTCACATCAAGAAGATCCTGGAAATACTTCTTTTTCTCCCATGGCAAAAAGCCTTGGTAGCTTCCAGCATATGACTGTAATTTTCTTCCCACCAGGCCCTCCCTTACATTTGTATCCACTTGCACATGCCCTTTTCCTCCTTCCACACCCTGTGCATCTTCTCTAGTATCTAAATTCCCAGTATGTTTTGATTTCTGCGTTTCCCTTAATATGAGAGCATTCAATACTTTTTCTCGAGTTTCATTTTTATTTCCCATGCTCTGGGAGGGAAGTGTGGGTTTAGGCTTTATTTTATAAATAGGTTTATTTGTGTTCATTTTCACAACAGTCCCCTTTGTTCCTGTAAGCCTTGAAGGAACTTCTTCATTTGTTTTTATTGCTTTTGTTTTGCTATCGTTGACATCTCTATAAGGCTTCTGCCAGCTGGTATGGTTCTTCTGATCTTCTGAAGAATTATGCATGCCCTTCTTTTCCAGGCCTATAATACTCTTTACTGTAGTTAAGAATTGGAAAGGTCGCAGGAGAGCAGCCTTGGATAAGTTAAATCCTTTCTGAGTGATATCACCATTTAGTAGTTTTAAGTCCAGGTTCTGCAGTGCTAGCTGAACATCTTCAGGAAGAAGAGACACATTTACTGATGGTATTATTACCTCTTCATGTAGACTCTCTTTGGTGCCATTTCGATGTCTCCTGACTTTTGGAAAGCGTTTTTCTTCAGGAATATCCTCAAATATCATTTCAGCTTCTGGTATTGAAGTTATAGTTTTTAAATCAGAGTCAGATTTTTGCATGGAAGTTGTGTTCAGTTTTGGTTCTTCTCTAGTATCAGCTTCAACAGCTACCTGCATTTTAAACTCTTCATCATTTTTATTTAGAAATGTAAGGTTAAAATAGATCATAGTTGCATTCATGCCACTATGCATTATGAGGTGGATAGTCTTCCATTTGTTGGCGATTGAAGCATGTCGGATAATTGGATTATCACTATATGAACCCTCAATTCCTTTCTTGGCTATTTCACTGAAGCTGAAGTAGGGCAGACATTCACCTTTGGGAATAACGTAGTAGGTCTGATTAAGCTGAAGTGTCACCTTGTACATCTCTTCAAAGTGATCTGAAAAAAACAAGAAACAACAAATTTCTGTCAGTTTGCAGTGATGCACTTCTCTTTCAGTCTTTTTTAATGGTAATATGCCCCGCTAGATTCACTATATTAGCAGGGAGACAGCTTTTTGGAAGAAGACTTAATTGTAGCTTCCAGTTTCTTGCTCACCTATCTTTAATAATAAATGACTAGAACATACTCAGATATATAAAGCTGCCAGACACTCCAGTGGTAATTCTAAAAGCCAGTAAAACTTATAACTCTTTCAGTCTCTACTGAAAAAAGCCTAAGTGGCTCGTTATCACATATCACTTGAAATTATGTATCAGTCATAAGTAACATGCCCATACTACATTTTTGCCACATTTTAGTATATTAATGTTAACAACAGTTGGATTTCACTACTACATCGCATCATGATTTGAGACTTCCAAAATCAGATAGGCTGAATCTCCCACAGCAGAAGACAGATTATCTGTCAACTCTCCTCACTGCCAGCAACAGAATTGCCAGTAACATATTTGTCTGAGCTGAGATGCAGGGGAGTCTCTACTCTTCCAAACAGGCCAAATTCTTCCATTTCTTTTCCCCTGTCTATACCAGACAGCGCTCTCAATCACTTCATTTGCTCCTGCTAATCTTTAATATCAAAATAAACTTCAGACAACTTCACAAGTGACTGAAAGCGGCCTTTGGCAATAGCCCAGAACCAGGCTTGAACTTGTGCTGTCTGCATTAGAGAGGTTCTTTAAATTTCTTAACCACTACAGGCATCATCAAGTGAGCTGTCCTTATTTGGCTAAAGGTTGTTTGCATAGCTGAAATGTAATCTCTCCATTTAAATGTAAGCCCCTTGAGGCAAGGAGTTTGATGCTTGCTGCTCTGTAAAGTATCAAGCACCCTACCCATGCTCGATCAGTAAGTTTTATTAAATAAAGCAGCATATAATATTGATTCAGGTTTAGATTAATGAATACAAGAAGCATCTGACTTTTTTCTTCAGCTGCTAGCAGCTCAACTGTAGAGGACATCTTAGTCCAGTCTGAGAGTAATGATGAACCAAAAAGGGCAAGCAATTCAAGAGAATCCCTACAGAAAGTTTATCAGCAATGTATTTTACATACCCTGTCCACAGTCACCAGCATCAAATCCACAGGAGAGGACATTGCAGGCCTGATCACAGAATTTGTCTGCTAGCCAGGAATTAGCACAGCCTTGGTTACAGTACGAAACACCACTTATTCCTGCACCAAACTGCCACGGTGGTCCATTCCCGATACCTCCAACTGCACCTCCACCAGCAACATAGCGACTACCCCCACTGTTACCTACAGGGAGAGAAAAGAAAAATGAAAAACCCCAATCATTTGAAATCCTTATTTTTAGGGAAAGGCACATTTTAAACCACAGTGTTCAAACTAGAATGAAGAGTTGACAACCTTCTTTATCACCGGTGAAATTAAAATGGGGCTAATGCTAACTAGACCTCTGTGAGTTAGTGTAAAATCCATAGTGTACACAATCTCACTGTGGGAGTTTAGGAACTGACTTAGAATTGCAACAAAAACTCCAACATATCTTGTCTTAACTTCAAAAAGGCAGGCAGAAAACTCATTTACTTCTTCTCGCGCTTGCAGTCTTGACTTTACGGCCCCCTAAAGTGGTATTACCTCCTCAATCCAGAAGTATCACTTCATTTTTCTACTTTGCAGTCCTGAAAATTCAACCTAGAAACTAATGGTGTAGTTTCACAGTTTTGCTACTATTTGGATTCAAATAATATATGATATTGTCTATATACAATACAATAATATAATAATAATTTTAATTTCAAAAACTTTCCTTTCAGCCAGTCAAATTTGGTACCCAAAGAAAGATTTTCATATGCCCTACTATTTGTTGTCATTTTCCACAGAAATTTGTAGTTTGTAAGCAATAAGGTTTTCATCTGTAAGTCAACTTTTCTTCTATTATTAAAGGAGGCAAATTTTGTAGTTATAGCAGAATGACAAATTACAGAATTGTTCTTATAAGAAAAACTAAACAGTTATTTTTTTCTAAATTTAACATTGCTTTCTTACCAATGCAATCACCTCCATCCCAATCACATGCTGAGTTATTACAGGCTTTATCACAGTAACCATCTTTAATCCATGAGCCAGGACACCCCTCAGCACAGTTTGGCACAGGCCATGTCAAGTAAACCTGGAACAAGATTGCAGTCTGAGATAAGGAGTGGCAAATAGAAGTCAACTGAGCTTGTTTCTTGGAATACAGAGACTTAAAGTAGTGCCTCTCTTAATGCCTTAATATTCACAGAGCTTTACAAACGGCATTTAAACCCTATCACCTGTGAAGTAAATGTTATCCCTTTCAAACAGAAGGAAGAACTGAAGAATTTCCAAGGCCATTCAGCAGGGCAGCAATGACCAGAAATAGAAAGTAGGACTTCCCAAATCCACTTCTGTAAACCATATTCCAACGAAAATTAGTATTTTATCTTTTATCAGATAAGAAAGGGGTACTTAAACTCCAAATAGCTCCGCAGTTCACTCCTGAATCAAAATGTTTCTTCCTTACTAAGCAGTCATGAGATAAGCAGCACATGTTGAACATAATCCCTGATGCATCTGATCCTCTACGACTTAAATAATTCTAAGAATTTCCAAGATAAAAAAAAAAAGTGGGTGGGTGTGTGTATTTTCAACTGAAGAGGCATTAACACCTCACACTTTTTCCTTTAAGCCTTAGTGTTTCAAGGTTTTAGCAGCACATTTCCTACTGAAACACTTGCTGATCAGGTTGTCACAAACACTGCACCTAAACTGACTTTATCATCATAACTGATAAGAATAACTGAAGAACAACAGAAATGCATTAACTGTATGATTCTGCAATTATATGCCTACATCCTTAAAGATTTTAAACAACTAAAAGTCTCTTAACATCCTCAAGTACTGAAACAGTAATTTTAGGGTAGCTTAAATTTATTTTGTACAACCCTTCTGTGTGTGTACACAAGTGTCCACACCTGTATGCATGAAGTGTTTAATTCAGTGGTCTCTAGTATCTTGTGTACTTACTGCTTTAATATAAATAATAAACATAAATCTTAATTTTTTCCTCCATGCTGCTCTTTTATGTCAAGCTCATGGATGAAAACTCTGCTGACAGCCAGAGTCTTTATGCATGACAATTGCAAATACTTCCTCAGCCTGCTCTCCTTGTTTAATCCCAGTTGTTGGTAAGTCTGCTGAAAGACTAAATTACTTGACGTTGATGAACATGCAACAATATATCTTTTAGTAAATAATTATATATATGGTTATATATAGACTGGGGAAAGATATTATGGGTGTCTGGAACAGAGGTAATTAAAGGTAAATTTAAATATTGGACGAGTTTGAATGTCATCTGACCTCAGTGTTCCATAGAAGAATTGATTCTGTTTTGAACATTTCCCAAAAAACAAAAAGATTTTACAAGGGAGGGAAGACTGATAGCTGCCAAACATCATATCAGTCTTAACAGCGCTTCCACAGAAAGTGGGAGAATTAGAGAATGACACTGACAAACTAAAACATGAAACCTGACAGAGGAACTATTATACTGCCAGAAATCTGTGAGTGAATATGAATAAAAGTAATTCCACAACCCAAACATCAACACAGCACAACACAAAAAAAGACAGAGCCCTCCCCACCCTGCACATTTGCTAACAATTGTCTAGTTAAGATTAATGAATCTTTAAAGGTAAAAGGGGCAGTGAAGGCAAATCTTCTTACATTTGCTCTCCCTTTCAAAGCAGCATTTCTTTGGTTTTTATTATATTAGCATAGAAAAGTTTTACATCTACTTCTGGTAAAAAAATCCTTTCATAATGGCTTACCTTTTGACCTTTAGAGTGACTGTAAAAATCATCAGGCCAAACATCCTTCCCAAACATAACATCATCGTTGAGATAGATAAACTTCTGAGAGAGGCCACTGATACGATGAATGTGACTTTCAATAGCTGGTGAACTGAAGGTAGGTAAGTGACTCACATTCTGAAATATCTCCTAGAACAAAAAAGCCCCAACAACCCAAAACAGTTTCAGAAGGCAAAAATAAACAACAAAACCAAAAAACCTAAACCATAACAGTTTTGGGACATCAGCTATATTTGATACTTATCTACTAAAAAAAAAAAAGTTTTACCAAGAACAAGAAGACAGAAGAGATCTGAAAGGCAAAAAAAGTGAAGATGATATAGCGGAAAAACTCCTAACTTTGCTATCTCATTTTCCCACACAAAACCATTTTCAAGTCTGCTGCTTAACTAAGAAGCTGCACATGGTTCAATGCAAAGACACAAACTCCTCTTTCACTGGGTACTGGATCAGGCCCAGTGTACACACATTTATACTTCTCATGCAGTACAGGCTGCACAGAACTTTAAGCAAGTTGAACCTGTTCCAGCATTCAAAAAGCCAGCATTCTTCCACCTCTTTCAAGTAACTTCACAAGCAGACAGCAACAGAAGTTGCATTAGTATCTCGTTACCGCTTAGGTTGTTCAGAGCAACTATGGCATGTCCAGATACCAAAATTACTCCTACATTCATAGTAAGAAGCTACTCAAGTATTTTTGTTTCACTTATTCAAGAAGCTTGAAGGATTCCTTTTTTTTTTTTTTTAAATAAGCTTTTTAGAATGCATAGCTACTTTTTTTGCAGCCATCTTCTTAGTTCCAGTAACTGTAATCCATCCTGTCTCAACACAAGCTTATTAGGTTATTACTGCTCCTGAGGGACTGTTTAGGGATTCAGATTACACTTTCTTCTCCCCAGATTTTTTATAAATAGACATTATAGGGAAATTAGAAATGGGTATACGTTAGCTGAAGCCTCAGTGTTTGGAAGAGTGGACTAAATGAAGGCTTGATGTATATTCAGTTATCTGCTTAGCCAAAATACAAAGATATACTGGGGTTTAATAAAACCATGGATGAGACAGAGAAGAGGTGGTCACTTCTACCTTCCAACTAAAAGCAGCCTTTGGCTGAAAGGAGATAACTACATTTCAAAACAAACACAGAATCTTTACTAGGGCACTTTCATGCTGGCATTTTTGTTTGGTTTGGGTTTTTGGTTGGGTTTCTTGTTGGGCCTGTGTGTGTTTGGCTTTTACCTGATGGGTCACTATGGTTATCCGAGGATTATCGAGGTTAAGCCAGGAAGGAATCTGCCCATTAGTGACGATGAAAATATGTCGTACCCAAGGGGCATGCCGCTCTATTGATCGTAATGAGTATCTCAGCTCTTCATTATCTTCAAAACGGCTGGCAGAAATATCTTCATCCTGCTTAGACTATAAAAAGAAAAAAAATCTTTCTTAGATTTTTAAATAGAACATTCCAGTTCTGATCCAGCTAGATAACAAGAGTGTGCTTTAGCATAAGGGTGCATAAGCACTTGAGGACTTAGACATTAAAAAATAAGAAGTACATTGATTAAATACCATTATTCTTCTATTCTAGATTCATATTCTTCTGAATTATCAAGATGAACAATACAATCTTCTGACATCAACGGCTGACCACCTGGTATCATTAGGATGTCTGCTGACCACGCTGCAAGATGACAGTGCTTTTGTGTGAACCTGTCTCTTGAAGAAAGAGCCCAAGAAAAAAAAATTCTCCTATTTTCCTGGATTATTAGAGTCAAATATTTCCTAATATTATTATTTCCTAATCTTCATCAAAAGCTAAGTTGCCTTTCAAAACTGTAACACCAGCTTTCAGAAATCCAGTTTTAAGAGGCTGGGGCCTTCCAAGTACATTGCACCATAAGCTGTATATAAGTGTTACCTAATATAGATACCCTGGAAGGGTCATGATGTAGCAGCTCTTCAATTATACCCAGTTCTTTTATTTTAAAGAACTTAAGCAGGAGAAAATTAACAAAAGTGAGCCTAATATTCACTATCAAATAGCCAAATGTTTCCATATGTTTTTGTTAAAAAAACAACATTTTAATTAGAAACTTTTCATGTAAGTAACAAAATTAGGTTCCATGATACTGTAACATATGTTCTTTTCTCATTTATTAGAACTTAATGACTTCTAAAAAGAACAATTAAGGTTGCCTAAAAGGAACATTGCTAAAAGAAGTATGCCTAACAGAAACACGAAACTCAAGAAATATTTGAACATTTAACAATTACCATTTTCACTGCAGATTCTACACGCTGTAAATAAGTCTCCCTCTTTTCTAATATGTACAGTAACACAGCTTACATATTCTCAAAAACATAACTTAAAACATTTCAGCAACACCAGCATCCATTGGCTAGGTACCCATTTACAAAACAATGCATCTACAAAACATGGGCAAGGATAAAGTTTGAGTTCAGAGTTTGTACGAACAAGGAAGACTCCACAAAAGCCAGGTTCATGGGATACAAAGACAGACCGCAGGCTTTATTGGAGAGCGCACATTTACTTTACCCGTGACACTTGACGTTTACTGTAAAATTCAATTCTATCAGGGGAAAAAAACCCAAGATTTCAGAAGATCTTATCTGGAAAAAGACATCTTGTTATTTTATTTCCTTTTGCTAACCCAGACATACTTGCTTGTATCAAAAACATCGAAGTAAACCTCCTTTCCTCACAGACATCTGTATTTCAAGTCTTCAAAATTTTTGGAAGAGAAGTAATTAGCATTTTTTCAGCATATATGATGCTGCAAAGCAAAAAAAGTCTAAGAAACATATTGGAAAGGAGATAATCATGTTTGTTAATAAAGCCCTCTGTCTCCCCCACACAAGAAGTCTGCTTATCTGACAGACAGTATCAGTTAAGCCTTTCAGGACTTGACTGCACACAACTTTATCAGAATAAGTGCAGAAAGCAAAAATTTTCACTTAGTGGAGAACATGAAAATTTCAATAAATGTGACTCTAGCTGATCCTCTTCCTCCTTTTCACTTAGTGGAGAACATGAAAATTTCAATTAAATGTGACTCTGGCTGATTTCAGAATCTGACAGTGTTCTTGTGATGTTTTCTTACAATGTAATAAATATTGGATTCTTAACGCTTCCAAGCTTCTGGAAGAAATCCCATGTTCCTTGTCTTTGACTAGTTAGTCTCTACTTGCAGTTTTTAAATACTACAACCTTTACGAGCTGTAACAGAATTTACCTACCTGACTGACAGAGCTGAGGTCCCATAGTAAATAAGCAGGATTAAGCGTCAGTTCTTTTCCATCTATAGTCATGTTCTTCTTTGCTTGCTTGCTCAGTTCTTGGAAACCCTTAGGGTTATTCAGCTGCAAGAGAGCCACGCTGGCTTCTGAATAGAGCTGCAACTATACAAGCAGAGGAAAATTTCTGGCATGATGTACCCACAGCAGCACTTTTCCTTTGCCAATTCCATTTTTTTGTTTTATTTTTCTTACTAGAGTTACTAATAAGAACAACTGGTAAACACTGTTTTTTAAGAACTATAATTTTGTAAGAACACAAAAAGGGGCAGTAAAACTTACTAATAAGAACAACTGGTAAACACTGTTTAAGAACTATAATTTTGTAAGAACAGAAAAAGGGGCAGTAAAATGGAAAATATTTAAGGATATAGAACATTTCTAGGTGCTTAATTTTCACTTTCCAAAGGAAATTTCTCTTTACACAATGATCCAGCAACAGTAAATCTGTCCATGTTATAAATATTTCTGGAGTAAGTGAACAGTAAGTCCTCATCTGTTCCCTTCCACTCCCAGTAACAAAATTCATATTTTATTACAACTTTATTATATGACTGAAATAATCATACTTTTTTTCTGTCTTAAGCAATGCTCTCCTCAGAAAATTAAGGCCAACAATTCATCGTTGCTGTCAGAAGCATGAAATTTTCAGAATGGTTTACAGATCAACCTACAGTTCAGAAATCTGAGACACAAAGGGCTCCGAACTAATCCATGTGGGTCTCCAAGTCCTTAATGATGGTTGCCAATATGCTGTTAAGGTCATTTCTTAGTTGTACACTGTTTGATCTGTTTGCTGTTTTCATCTCTTGACACTAGTAAGTCTGTATATCAGATTTCATAATGCACAGGATAAGAAGGGGCTTGCACTACATGCCCTCTCTAACAGCTAGTATAGCTTACAAATTACAGGGCACTAAAACATTTCACTAAAAATATAGCAAAACCCAATAAAATGCTGTGTTTACCGTATAAACTTGTATGAGAAGACAAAAACAAGCTAAAAGCAGGATTGCACTTTAATTCTCCAAGTATATGCATTCAATAGACTGAGAAAAAAATGCAAATAACCATTAACAATATTTGTTAGATGCTTAACTTTTGTTCCTTCACACAACAGAAGACAAACAAGCACCTCTACCAGGCTTTCAGTTGCATGATGTTCAAAAACAGCAAAACCATCACAGTTTATTTCATAATACTTTTAAGTGATTTTTTCTTTATTTTTTATTAAACCTGACCCTTTCTGTTCATTTTACGACAGCACTTGTCCCAGAGTTAGCACCCCTTCCCTTAGCAAGACCAGCTGTCCCTCTTGTGACATTTTAAAGCTGTCAATGCTTTGACTCATATGCTATTTGAGATCTTTCAATCTGACTTATGAGGCCTGCCATTAGAAAAATCTGATAAATCTCAGACCTTCCAGGGAATCATCTGAACCTACGGGTGGAAAGGATGGTTTCAGTAGCTAAATGGCTGAGGTATAGTTACGGACTGCAGCTACTAACCTCCCAAAATATCAGCATCAAAATGCTACAGATTGCAAAGCTGCCATCAGTGGGTACGTGCTTTATTTAGGAATACAACAGTGTCATACAGTCCCTTATACATAAGTTTTAAATGACAGATTCAAACAAACCAAAAGTATTACCATTCTAGAGCTTTGAAAACATTTAAGAACATTTAGTTTTTCTTAAATTTGTTTCCACCAAAGTCAACAAAATAGGTACCTGTACAACAAATTCCTAAATAGATTTATTATAAATACTTCCCCTTTCCCCAACTAACACAGAATATATCTCTAGGTTTTTAAATATGTAACAGCCTAAGCTTAAACAAGTAGTAGTAGAAAAAATGTACTCCACTGCTCAACATCAACATTAATTAACCCCTACATTGAATATATTCTTTTTAGTACATCAGTGTTTTTTTCCACCAATACCTTTTTAAAATAAACAAGTCTTTTCATAAGCAGAGCTATCAATATTAGATTTCAGTGGAGTTATTTGGTGACATAACTAACTGAATTCTAACAAACTGCAAGCCCTGCTTAGAGAATTTTGTTGCTGGTATATTCAAAATGGAACTCTCCCCTGGCAGATTTTCTGATTATCCTCCTCTTAGTGGGGACACATGCAATTGTTCAGTCCCTTGAAATATTATCTTCTAGAGATTATATTCACCCTGACATAAAAGGACAGCATATCCAAAGATATTGTGAAAACAGAACAGAAGAACAAGCAGGTAGGCACATAGAGCCAACCTGATCAGGCAAGCCTCAGCTTCTAACACAAGCAGGCTGAAAAGACACGATGCAGACACACGCGCAGACCACCCTCCCATGCACGTTTATATCATGCACTTGAAAACAAGACAGGAAAACTGCATTCTCCCCTCCAGGTGACTGTAAATGCAGGTTCTCTTCTGGAGCCAGTATGTTTGGCAATGCTTAGACTTTGCTAGACTAAGAGGCAGGCAAGACAGGCTAAGCAACCCCATGCAGAAGTAAACTTTCATTTTCACATTCTCAAGGTATGAGGCCTAAAGAGCAGATTTTTTTTCCTGAGGTAGAACTTGGGACTCTTAACCAGTCTTTAAATATTTTTTTAATGGTCAAAGCTGATTTTTAAGGAAATGAGATGCTCCTTTTTTCACACTCCAGTATGGATATTGGGAAAACTCATATGTCGACATAGCAAGGGAAGGGAGAGGCATGTGTTGTATTAAAGAGTTACAAAGAGCTTTACAAGTATGCAATACTGTTGTCTTTACAAATTTATCAAGTTCTGTTTATAAGGTAATGAGTAGAAGGGTCATCTGAGAGCCAAAAGCAATGCAATGCCTTAGGTTTTTTTTTTTCCTACAAACCTTACTTATTACATCTGTGTGAACATACAACGCCAACTCCAGAAGCCACCTGTCTGCGCCATCAACACTGACAAGAGCAGCAGTAAGAATCCCAGACCCTCCACCCTCAAGGCAGTGAGCACAGCAAACACCCAGCATCACTGTGCCTGCAGGTTCTTATGTGGCTCTGCAAGATCTCAGCTTTCCATCAAGCAGTCAGGATATTAAATCTTAACTGTATACTATTTCAGCAAAAAAGTGTTAGCATGATAGCTTCAAAAACCAAAATCAACCAAATCAAATCCCCTTGCCCTTTCAATCCTTCCCTTATCAGTCTTTACATCACTATCTAGCTTTTAAGTCCAAAGTGTCTTTTTTAGGCTGACCAACGATAGTTGTCTTTAGAAATGTGTGGGGGAGGGGAGGAGGAGAAAAAGTGGAAAAAAATAAATAAATTAGTTGTTCTTCACATATAAGTACAATGT